ATGATCCTGTGTTTCTTCTACGGGGCCGCCTTTTACAGATGCTTTTGGTCTCTCTGCTTCTGTCTCCTTGAACCCTAGTCGGCCTCAGCAGATGGCCGCTCACACTGAGTCTGGTTCTGCTGGAGGTTTCTTCCTGTTCAAATTGAGTTTTCCTCACCACTGTCGCTACAAGCATGCTTAGTGTGAGGGATTGCCTTCGAGACAATGAGTCGATGTAATGAACTGGTTTTCCTTAGATAGAAAACTTGGAATAATTTGACTGTATGATCTGGTGAATGGTAAAGTGCCTTGAGAGGACGTGTTGTGAATTTGCACTGTATAAATAAACTGAATTGAATTGAATTGAACTGAATCTTTGCAGGAATGCAACTTCCCAGGAGGGTTTTGAGAATGGACTAATTTGACAACATGTTCAGAAGGTAACAAACAGGGGCGAGATATAAAGCTATGCAAAACTCACTAATTATCAAGGTTTTTAGATCAGAAAAAGAGTGGACTAAATGGGATCCAAGGGAAGGTTCCAGAGTCAAATTTATTGCTGACCAAAAATAAGACAACGACACATTCCAATTTTACAACAAATATCGTAAGGATGTCAATTTAAGGCCCCTAATGATGACAAAGGTGAGACATTTTTGAAGGTTTATATCTCAATATATTTAGCATAAAAATAAGGAACCATTTGTGTTAGTCACACATGGTGGTGGTAGTGTAATGATCTGGGGCTGCTATGCACCCTCAGAACCAGGATGCCTTCCTGGAGTTGATAAAACAAGGAACCAATCGGACCAGATCGACTTGAGCTCATCCGCATCTATGTCGTCCACCAAATCCGCTTTGCAGCAGAAAAAGAAAAAAAATAAGTAAATGTATGAAAATGGCCCAGTCAAAGTCCAGAATTAAAACTGAATAACATGCTTTGGCCTATCGCTACACAGCCACGTTATGCTAAAAGAAGAAATGTTTTGGATTCAAAACATGTTTTTAAAGAGTCGGCTGACATTCCTACACAAAGATCTAATTTTTCTACAAACACTCAATGGCTGGCTTTACTTAATCCAATAATTAATCAACTGTTTTGAAGCCTTAGGGAGCATTTTCTTTTCATCTGCGTTTTATTGGATAAATTTTTTTTAGCTTAATAGATAAAATTAATTAAAAATAACTTTTTTTCTGTCTTAGCAGTGTTTTTTATTTTTAGAAAACTTTGTGTGATAAAGTCAATAAAAAAAATCAGTAAGTGGGAAATCCTTGGTTTTGTTAATTGGTAAAGTCAATCAGTCAGTGATTTTAGACCTCACACATCTTATTTTTTTTCATTAAATGCTGTTTTTTGCTCTCTGTAAATACTTCATTTGTTATTTTAACTGGATCAAATTTGACTTTAAAAAAAAGTAAAAGAGTTAAAAATGCTAAAATAAAAATCTTATAACTGAAGGCAATGTTAGAGGTTTGAGAAAAAAAAAGTGCAGTTTTATACTGAAAAACATTGAACAACGAAGAGGGAACCACTGTTGGACCTTTTAACAGGATGTCAAACTGCACATACAAGACTCTAAACATGCTTTTAAAACTTTAAACATTCATTCTAAATGGAGCACAGTCTGCACATTTCCCTCATGTACAAGAATTTAGATGTGCATGACCACATGCCAATGTAGAACATGGAGCCCGCATACGGTGGCAGGGACAGGGCATCCTCCCCCCTCTCAACGTATCACCTTTCATCTCAGAATGCCCCATTCTGAAATCGAAGATGGAGAAGCATGCTTTCTGACATCCAATAAGGCCCTGATGTCATGAAGGAGTGGAAGAGGATTCCAGTGGCAACAAGAAAGGTTTCAGTTCCCCTCATGGCTGCGAGAGAGAACAGGCAGTACTAGAAAGTAAGGTTTCCCCTGAAGTATACACACTTTGGGCACAATTTGGACATATTTGCCTATGCATGAAAGTGAAAATGTTGCCAGAAGTTTAGTAATTAATGATCTTATGCTGTTTAGTTTTTGTTTTTTTGTTTTTTATTTACAGGACAGCAAAAGCTTTACAGTTTTTCAAGTTGCATTAAAGCTTCAAATCGTCAGTCTTGTCCCATTAAAAGTATATAATTAAATATTTACAAAAACGTGAGGGGTTTACAGAAAGAGTTGGACGCTTTATAACTAATAAGCTACCATCATATTACATACTTCAGAAAAGGTTTTTATTGATTTTATTTATCTACATAATATAATACAACATTCATGGTATATAAAAAAAGAAAAAGAGAAAAATGTAACTATCGGTATTAAATGGTCAGTTAAAAAAAAGGAGCATCCCACAGTTTAGCTTCAGTGATTCTGTACAGATGATAGGGCACTTCCTTTTTCTCTCTGTATTACCGGCTGTAACCTCCAACACCTCAGCCGGCCTCCCACTCAGAGATAGATGACAAGCAGTAGCAGTCAATGACCTCCTGCCTCCTCCTGAGGCATAAACTGCAGGTTGGAATCAATAACACCAACTAAAACCAATAATTGTGATGTAGTTTTTCCACTTTGCTTTATTCATCAACAAAGGCAAGCAAACCTGACAGCAGTATTATTTTTTTTTTTGAGGATGAATGAGGTTAAATTTGTTATTTCACATTTGGAGAGAAGAGTTTCTGTGCAAAAAAATTGTTTCCAATTTATTTCTAAAAATCCCAGAGTTTATAGTTTAGTCTACCTTGTGTTTATCATGGACTGTCATTTTTTTCATTTATATTCTGCTCGTCTTTAGATTTGGCAGGGGTCTATAAGCTCTCTTTACACCAAGCCTCAAACACCCAGTGGATCCCAGCCAGGCTTGACATTTAGAGTCTTTCCAGTTCACAGGATGCCCTCTGGGGGAAATATCAGAGCAGACAGCCATGACGAGACACTTAGTTTGCTTCATCCCACCGAGGGAACCCATAGTGTCTCAGAGATGTATGATTTTGAGTGTAAATTACTTTTCAAATCAAAAAGCCCAAGGGGGTTGATAGCAACCTCCTAGAGCAGAACTTTCCCACTTCAGGTGTTAAAATTCCATCTGTAAACAACTGTGAACACTTTTACCTCAGTAATATGATGCATGTTTACAATGAATCACGGTCTATGATTCAGATTTGTTTACTATAGAATGAATAATAAATTGAAAACCCCGGCATTCCGATGGCCAGTTAAATCTAATGCTTAGATACAGAGCCTGGAGAAATTATTTGATTTAGATAATATTTAGGCTCAAGTGGCCTTTATTTTTTTATTATTATTTAAGGTGAGGAGACAGGAAATGGGAATAGAGAGGGGGAAGATATGCAGCAAAGGTCACCAGGCTGGGGCCTGAACCTGCATACCTCAACGTGGGTCACACTTAACCCCTGCACTCCTGCCGTGTCCTTATAATGATTGTAAGGGAACTTTATGTGATAGATCAGCATCACAAAGGGCAGCTCTGAAGTTAATAAATTGGCTTTGAAACTGACCAAAAATGGAAAAAATTAGTATGACAGTTTACTGAGTCAATACTTCATATCCTCAAATTGAAGCTGAAAGCCTTTTCTCCTAATTTTGCAAAGAAATTTAACTATATGTTTAATGTCTTCCTGCTAGTAAGTGGATCTCTGCTCCAGATTCAGGTCATTTGCAGCTTCAAAAAACTTAACAGATTGCTACGTATTAGCTTCACTGGTCTTCCTGAGAGAAGTTCCCCAGTGTCAATACTTTTAGAACATTTGATCATGGAAGCAGCAAATGGAGCAGGAAGGATTTATCTTTCCAAGTTTTGCATGTCTATGTACTGAAGTTTGTGGTGAGATAAACATCCACACATTATGATACCGCCACCACCATGTTTAACTCGGAGGATAATGAGTCCCTCAATTTTCTGCTAAATTTGTCTGCAACCTAAGATGAATTGGCAAAGTGTCAAGAACTGTGTGATGTGCATAAATATGCATGTCACTCTTTTTTTTTTTAAATCACTATTTTTCATTTCAAAAGTACATACTTCTTTGTGTTGCTTTATCAGGGTGACAAAAATCTAAGAAGTTTATGATATAAACTTTAAAAATTATTGGCAAAACCTGAAAGGGTGTGAATATCTTTCCAGTGTAGCATTTGCAAAAAAACTTTTTTTTTTAATTCAAAAATGATAACATCATTTTTAAGTTTAATCAACTTTTGTTAAGTGATAACTAAAGTATGAATAATAATATTCAAATTCAGTTTGCCCTTTCATACAATTTTCTTTTATTCACACTTTCCATAAAACACCACAAACAACATCCATCCATCCATCCATCCATCCATCCATCCATCCATCAATCCATCCATCCATCCATCCATCCATTTTCTTACACGCTTGTCCCGAGTGGCGTCGCGAGGGGTGCTGGTGCCTATCTCCAGCATTCAATGGGCGAGACCACAAACAACATAAATCAAGCAAATAAAAAAAAAGCAAGAAAAAATCAGATAGGTTATTGTAGATGTATGTATGCTGCATTGAGATCATTAATTATAAATAAGTTTTATCTAATATATGTAGCAGCAGGATATTTCATCTTAATTGAAGACCAAACTCAAACTTTATATTATACTACATTTATTATTGTTACTATTATGCTTTATAGCGGATTATCTATTAGCCACCCATGTCATGAAGCAATATATAACTCTGCACTCTTCCGTAAGTGTATCACAGAGTATATCCCAGAGATTGTGGGAGATTTTAGTGTGGGAACGTTAGTATATGAGAAAATGGAGTTCACACACTTTGTTCCTCATTTGGTACCATCCCTACTGTAAACTCTCCACCAGAGGAATATAATCCAGTTAAGGCAGTTTTGCCAAAGCCATTGGTTTGTTTATGTGCAGCTGTGCTCATGCAAACCCAAAGGTGGATGACCCCTGCTTCTGTTTACACTCAATCTTTTTTCCTTTTTTTTGGTGCAACATTTTGTCAAAGAAGCAAAACACAGAGGAGAGCGTTTTAAGTTCTAAAATAACAAGACGTTTACTGTATAAGACCAAGGAGGTGGTACATGTTTACTTTTCAAATTCATGCAAATCAATACACAAAGAATGCTGAGAAAAATATTTAAAAGATTATTTAAGTTGGTAAACATTTTTACATTTTATTTTACATCAAACATCTTTTGAATTTGCCTCATTATGATCATGATATTAAAATACTCTTCAGACACAATGCAATACTAACAGGAGAATGATCAAAAGACTTTATACAAGGAGAAATAAAGATATTTAACTTCTTTAAAAAAACAAAGTCCAATAAAAAGACTCAAGGCAGTAGTGAAATCTGTACAAGCTCCTTAGGGCAAAGAAAATGGGATTCTTTCATGCAATGAACATAAGGTAAACAGGATCTAGATTAGTCAGGATTGTCAACTTTGTATCAAAAGTATTCATACTGGTTGATTTATTTACAGAATTGTCAAATTATCACACAATGCCTGAGAAATTACATATCAGTGGGCCTACTTGTTGCTCAGGCTAGAGGACTGACATCAAGTACACAAGTGACATTTGGGTCATTTCGGTCCACACTGGACTGCATGCTAGAGGAGGATTTCACTCCAGGACAGAGCAAGGTACGGAAGTGGTTCCTAAAGGTGTCTGAGAGACAGGCATAGAGGATGGGGTTGGCGCAGCTCCATGAATAAGACAACAAGACTACTAATTCATAAGCCCTGGCATAAGTAAAGAAGAACGTTTTTTGGCTCCAGGAGAGAAAGTTAACAAAGTAAAATGGAAGCCAGCATATGCCGAACACCACCACCACTGCCACAACCATTTTAGTTATCTGTTTCTCGAGTCTACGGCCTTCGTCGTTTGGCGAGGAGCAGTGATTATGCTTGGACCACAGGGAGACCAGCATAGCTGTGTAGGAGATTGTCATCATCGAATACGGTAAGGCAAAACCAATGACGAAGGTGTAGGAGAGGACGCCAAGCGACCATGTATCTGTAGGAAAGTCTGGAGAGCACAAGCCATGATGCGCAGTGAAATGATAAGCCATTGGCAGAATGGTGAGGAAGGATAAAAACCACAGGGTCATAGAGACGACCTTGGCACAGCGAGGAGTTCTCCAAGATGCAAACCGAAGAGGATTGGTGAGTGCCATGTAGCGGTCGATGCTTATCGCTGTGAGGCAGAAAACACTGGTGAACTGGTTGATGCCATCCAGGAACATGACCACTTTGCATGCCATGTTCCCAAAAACCCATTCCTGAAAGAACTGGCTGGCAATAAAGGGTAGACCAACCATAAATAGTCCATCTGCCAAAGCCAGGTTAAAAAGATACACTGTTGTGGAGGATGACATTTTGTCCAGCTTCAAAATTGCAGTTATAACGAGGCAGTTCCCAGCCAGTCCCACAATACAGACCACAAGATAGAGAAAAGCCAGAGTAATGCCAAAGGAGTCAATGTTTTTCTCAAAGTGAAAATGCTCCTCCAAAAATGAATGATTGCTGTCCTGATGAGTAGGAGTAGATGCTTCCATGGTGACCCAGGTCCTTGTTTAGAGACTGGCTGAGGAAAGAGTATAAAAACAGATGAGAGAAGGAGAAGAAACAAAAAGTTGTCTTCATGTGGAGTTTTCTCTCTGATGGCAAAAGTTCTTGAAGGGAAATAGGTAAAGAACTCAAGTGAAAACTCTTAAAATCAATCACGATCTCTGGCTACTGGTTCCTCCTATCTATTCTCAGTATCCAGTCTGTCACACTCCCTTTGGTTCTCTGACAAGAAAAAGTTATCTATCTGATACCAGAGTGAGTTTCCTCCCAAACACTCTCAGAAGCAGGGTGGAGAAGACTCAGAGGCTTGCCTGAATGCTTGTTTTCCTTGAGAGCCCCTTTATATCTCTTGCAGCCTCAGTGTGTGAGGAGCGTGTCAACTTCTCCATGTGTGAGACGCCCTCCCATGTACCTCCCTCCTCTCGTTCACCAGCCTCCAACAAATGTGATGAACTCCATGGCTCACTGTATTGGCATTTCCAAGATAAACCCTTGCAAACACCTTCCGTTGGTCTCTTGTTTTCATAACTTTGTCTCTGCTATCTCTTCTATCACTGTTATTTTCTGTTTATCCTCCTTTTCCACCATCAGATCTGTTTCCCCACCCTTCACCTCCTGCTTCTTCTCTGCCTCACAGTTCAGTGATAGGTCGTGCAACTAAACCTAAACAGATAAAAACACTATCTCTTTGCACTAGCCGCCCACCCATATGGCATGCACTGAACAAATCTGCCAACAGGAAAGAAAAGCATTTTCTTTCTAGTTTTCTCAAAGCCTTTGTTTTTTGACATTTGACATAGAAGGCTATTCTCTTCTCCTGAACTCATTCTATTGTCCCTGTACCCTCCTACCTTGTTTATCTTTTTTAAGAGACAAAAGGATGGGAAGTTTCAATAGGAGATGAAGAAATAGAGGAGAGAAAAGAAAGTAAAACACTGAAGAGTAGAGAAACACCAAGAAGGATTGTGGAAAATAAGAACTTGATGAGGGATGATGCACATAATGTTGTTGCTTTAACATGCATCATTGAAATACACAATGTTTGCAAAATAATCCTTCAGAACATTCTGACATCAACTCTGCTGAAACTGGTTCTTCAATCTATCCCTCTGGCACTCACACTAGTCACCAAATGAGGCCTTTAAATAGTATTCACAACACTTTTTCAAATTCTACCAAGTTAAAAACACAAAATATGCAATTGAAAGGTAATTAAGTTGACCAACAGAAAGTGGTGCATGTTTCTAGGGCAAGCCAACACTATTTACAAACATTCTTTGATAGGTGTTGAAAAGTCATCTTGTTTTGCATAGAATTTACAAAGGCATAAATGTTTTGTTGTTAATGCATTGACTCAGCCACCAAGCCAGTACTTAATAGAATCCCTTCTTGCTGCAAGAACAACTAATAGCCTTTTGGAAAGTATGTCTCAATGTTTCGTAATACGAAAGACTCAGCTCTTCTCATGTTTTGGAAAATATCATGTTTGGATAGTTTAGTTTCTTCAAATGTTAACAGTTTGCACTTTTTAACATTTGCCCAAGAATATATGTAGACCTAATCATGCCCTCTTAACACACAAACAATTTTTAGATGTGAAATTCACCAGTCCTTATTAGGTTTAGATTAGAATGTTTCAAAATAATCCACTTCATTGTGGCTCCCACATCACGATGCTGCCACCACCGTGTCAAGTAGTTATTGTCAGAGTGCTTGTTAAAGTTTGTTTTTCGCAACAAACCTTTTTGTACATCATCTCGAAACTGAGGCCCTCACAAATCTCTGTCCTACAGGGTCTCAAAAGGCTGAAATTTAGGGCCCCTGCTCTTTTCTCTGTTTTTGCTGCCACTTGGTTCAATACTGAGAAGACACGGGATTGATTTCCATTTTTATGCTGATGACTGCCAAATATATTTGCCCCGAAAGCAGGGAGAGGGTTTTCCTAAGTGAAATATTTATTGAACTGTTTAAATTACATTAAAGCCTGGCTGTCTCTGAACCTTTTAACCAGAAGGAAAGTGTTTGAAAGGGCCCTTGTGACTCCACTACTATAGACCCAGGACCCATGACACCATTTTAAATCAACCGTCAAGGACTTCAATTTTAAGGTGGAGAGTGATTTTGAATTGGGAAAGCAAATTGGAGCAGTTGTCAGATCTTGCTTTTATCAGTTAAGACAACTGACAACCAAAACCCTTTCTTTCATGGCAACCCATTGAAACAGTTATCCATGTTTTTATTTAATCTCGATTGGATTACTGTTAACAGACTCCATCTTGGGTCGTGTCAGTTGCTGTTTCACTTACAGCTGGTGCAAAACGCATGATTACGTCACTCTTGTCCTGCCACTCCACTGGCTGACTGTGCATTTCTGAGTTGATTTTAAAATCTCTTATCTTTATTCTTAAGTGCCTAAATAACCTTGCCTCATCTTACCTCTTTCAGCTTCTTCAACCCTATTTGCCTCCTTGTTCCCTCAGGTCAGCAAAACAGCAGCTCCTGCAGGTACTGAGGTTTAAGAGAAAGTTCAGAGGGGCCAGAGCCTCCTCTATTGCTGCTCCTCCTTTATGGAATAGCCTCCCGTTGCACATTAGGAAGGGTCCTTCCCTGCCGAATGGTAAAACATGGCTAAAGACTTCCTTTTATTCACTCACTTTAAACACTGGCAGGACGTAGTTCTTGCAACTTTGTTTATTTAGTTTTCTTATTAGAGTCTTATTTAATTTTTATGGTGTATTTTATTCCTTTACTGTATTTATTATTTATAGCTATGTTCAGCATTTTTTTTCAACTGTAGCTGTTTTAAAACACTATATAAATAAAGATGATGATGATGTTGTATTTATACTTACACTAATTTGCATTAATTTGCATTCAGAGAGGCCCTTATGAATACATGACCTCAGAATGGAATGGCTTTATTAGACTTTAATCTGTGGATGTTTGAGTAAAAGTATATGTTCCACATGTCAGATTTGTATTTGTAAGATAAGGTAAAAAAGAAAACATGCAGCATTTTATTTTACTTTACAATTATTTGTTGCTTTGGATTCTGTCAAAATAAAACTCTAACAAATTGTTGTTAATTTTTGAAGGATCACATGGAAATAGGTAAAAATAAATAATCCATAAATACTCCAAGTTCAGAGAGTCCAGGAGCTGAATCAGGGTCGCTTTCTGAGATGAGGTGATGAGGTGAGGCAGTGTTTTGGTGTTCAGAAAAGAGCAGCCGGAGATTAGAGCATGAACCATATAACAAGTTTCTTCCTGTTAAAAGTGAGTTTTCCTCTCCACTGTCGCTACAAGCATACCTGTTGTGAGGGAGTCAATCAGTCGATGAAATCAGCTGGTTTTTCTTAGATAAAACACTTTTAACAAATCTGGTTGTATGATCTGGTTGAATTGTCTTTGTAAAATGTAAAGTGCCTTTAGGTGATATGTTATGCACTATATAAATGAACTGAATTGAACCCTGGCACAGAGTGCCCCAGGGCAGTTTAGCAGTGGCTGGTGACCAAGGTGAGCTCTACCACTCTGTTCATCGAAAAAGAGACTTCTAGGAAAACCTCTAATCACATATCGTGTATCAAGTAACTAATCTTGCTTTCCCACATGTCCAGTTAAGGAGCTCTGAAAACTTTGCTTAGTTTGGGATCTGATGATTTACAACCAGTGGAAGATTTTGATGATCAGAAACACAAATATCTGTTCTGTGTTGTACAAAAAAAGGTAAAATTTATTGGATTCCAGTTAGGACCTTTGGTTTATTTATGCCCATATTGAAACAATTACATATCTTACCACCATGTTTATGGTGAGGGCTTTTCAATGCCCCTATGAATGTACAAACTAGTTAATCTTAAAAACACTAGAATACCCATGGGCCAAATATATAAGCTTTAAGAACAGAGGTAAAGTTAAAAGGAAACATATAATGAGGATAGCAAAGCTGGTGCAAGGCTAAAGATTCTTTCTAAGGTTTGTTTTTCTTTCACAGGACTCTTTTGAAGTTTAATGGAAAAAGATTGAGGACATACAGGAGGAGCGAATCGAGCAAAGTCAATCACTCGATGCAATCAGTCAGATTTCCTTAGATAGAAAACTTTTTTACCGGTACCTATCTGAATGTATGATCTGATTGATAATATAAATAAACTGAATTAAAAATTAAATTCAAAGCAAAAACAGAAGAGGAAAAATCCCGTAAAAAAGATCTGCAAAGAAGATGCATGAAGCCGGCTACTTTATCAGCATGTCTAAAATGTTTTTCGCCATGTCTAAACCAAATAACTAAAAGAAATTCCCCTTTGATAAAGCTTTTAAAAAAGATCCACATTCCGCAAACAAGAACAATTTTCACCTCTCATGAAACACTCACTCATCCAATGTCTTATTTATCTGATAGGGTCACAGGGGTAACCACTTCAGCTGGGAAAACAAAGACCCCTCTAACAAACAACAGTCTAACTCATTCTTAAAGATCCTCATCTCTGTTCCTAGCTAGACAAGTCTAAGCCTGGCCGCCATATAAAGGAAGTTTAATTTAGCCACTTATATTCAGTATCTTTAAGTCCTGTTGAATGTCCAATGACCATAGGTAATAGTTGAAACATAGACATAAACTCTTAAATCTAAAACTGGCTTAAATATACATAACATGTCTGGAGCAGCACCTGGAGGAAACAGCTGTCTATCCATTTTCGGCTCCATCCTACCATTCCTGAGCTACTGGGAGCATTTCACCTTTTTCTCCAGTTAAAAAACCAAAACCTCAGACTAAGAGTGTCTGAATCTCAAACTGAGAAAGAGGAGCAGCTACAAAAAGCTGGAATGACATCCTGATCCTGATGGGGGTGTGGCAGCCTAGTGTTTAGGGCATAGAGCTTGGAATCCTGACGTTCTGAGTTTGAGCCCCACTCCCACAGGCTGCTACACTGGGCTGTTTCTCTATTCACTAGAACGTGAGTACGGACTCGTACATTGCCAAGTATGTTCTTGAGAAAAACACAGAAAAGCATGGACTTAGGGGAGAACTGGAGCACACAGCATAAATATGGGTCAATTGTAACAGAAGTGTACTCATGATGTCGCCACATGGCAATAATGATTAACTCAGTCAGATAAACATAAATCAACTGCACATTTTGTCAAACAAAACAAAAAAAAATCACCATCAGAGCCAGCGTTACTTCACACACGCTTACCATTGGAGCTCTGCTGATTGTTGCGGTCCTCTCAACTTCGGAAAAAATATTTGTTATTATGCATTAAATCAGGAAAAGGGCCATAAAACATACTTTTATTGAACAACAGCAACATAAATCTTTAACGTAATACTCTTAGCTCTGTGAGCGCTCCATTGAAAGCTGCTGTTGCTGCA